AGAGTCATTTTCTGTCCATGGATAGTAATATTTAATCTGATGCCTGGGGAATATAGATGTGCTTCTGAGGCAAATATGACAAATTCCACATGCCTTCAAGGCACCCAAGAACTGTGGGTGTGCCATGTCATTACCTTTTTTAATATGTGGTGTAGACTTTAATTAAAACATGTCTATGGCTGTTCATGACCTATGTGATGACCCAGGTCTCTTTATGTTGCAGTGATCTGCACAGTCAATCGCATGTTGGCTTATTATCAAGAACCTGGTTATAACTCAGATCCAGTCTGTTTCATGAGGGAGTGGGCAAATTGGTTTAGTTAAAATGAAAACTTTACATATAAACCAAGCCTGGAACATCCTCCACTCACCCTCCCCACTTTCTTAAAGGTCCCTTAACTTTTCTTTTCTTCTTTGATTTTTTCTTAACCTTTTCACCTCTTTCACTGCTGTCTAAGTTTGGCTGCAAAAAGGGGTCTTCCAGACTTCTGTGAAACTATAAATTGTGCCAATCCCAGAAATCACATGCAAATAACTGCTGCCGTGAAACTTCAAGACCAAAGGACTGATGCTTTGAAGTGCAAAGCCTTTCCTGTGACATGACAAGTGACCTCAATGACCATTATCAGCACCCTGCAGGAACTGCTCAGTTCCAAGGCAGTTCACATACATTTCCCAGCTTCCAGGTGCTCGTCTAATGTGGACTGTCTTTCCATCAAGACTGAGGATGACTGCTGGGATGTCATTCTCATGGTTCAGGTCTTCATCAGAATTATTTCCCTGAAAAGCCCTACAACTCAGTCGCTAGTCATTCCTTACATCCAGCTGATGATTACAGCTTCAGTTCTTTTTATGCATTTGATTGCCGCAAGTTTCTTCTCAGTCTTTTGACTACCTAACCAACCTATTGCATTGTTACAGCTCTGGGCTAACATGTGACCATGCAGATGTAAATGCTTATAAACTAATAAAGCTAATTCAGTCATTTAAGCATCTTTTACTCTGTACAGTGAATGTACCAGGCCAATGCGATAGGAGAGTGGCTCTGTATTATTTTCTGAATGTAGGCTGGTATTATAGAAGAAAGCACCCAGACAGATTCTGTTTTGAGGCTTAAATATCGTTTCTAACCAACTGCTAACTCTAATGCTGGGAGCTGGAATTTCCAGCTGTGACACTGAGAAGCTCTGAAACCGCCAGCTGCCAAAAGGCTAAAACCTGACATAAAGCAGAAAAAAGTATGCAGAGAAGCTGAGAGTCCAGTGCAGAGTTGTTAAGAAAGGCTGCATCAAAACTGCTATTTGCCCAGAAACTGGGACAAAGGGATATGCAGGAGAACTCCCTTCAGCAGAAGGAAATGCTAATGTGGGCAAAACTGACATCCAGTGAAGGGTCACTGTTTGCTCTGGCTAACCTCCATTCACCAGCTGTTCCTACTGCTATTGCTTCTATTATCCTATTGCACCAGAGGAAAGTGGAGCACAGTTTAACAGGGATTGTACTAGATTAAAACAAAAGCAAAGATCTGGGATTTCCCCCCTCTACAGAGACTGCCCCCCCTCCCTTATTTTTCCCCCCAGCATAGAATGGTCCTTTTTCTAGGTTAAGTTTGAGGTGCATAGAGCAGGGTGTGAACTGGGATCAAGGCTAAATGTCCACAGATACAATATTCTCTCTTGACCCAGGAGAGAGTGATTCTTTTAGGGGCAGGGCTGAGCATAATGGATTTTGTGATGTTGGTTTTGTTCCAGTGGTTGTCTTATCCAAGGGATTAATTGGTGCAGCAATGGAGGAGAAGGTGGGCTGGACTGATCCTGCCCAGCTGGACTGTGTTTCTGATAGAGACTGGAATTTTTAATGAGTGACTTTTACTTCTAATATGGCTGTCATGGATTTAGACTTTTAATGGTGGCTTTTATTTTATTCATTCTGAGAAGCTGGAAGGGAATAAGCAGAGTGAATTCCTGGACACAGGAAGACGGGTGAATGATACTAACTGGGGAGCGAGACTATAGAGCATGACACAGAAACACACCTACCTCTATCAAAGAGGGAGACATACACATGCACACTCAGAAGCACACACATGTGCGCGCACACACATAGACAACGTAACATCTACAAAGGCTTTTGTGAGCTGGAGGAAATGAGAAACAAAGGAAAGTGAGTCCTGTTCTGAAACCCAGGCAAGCCAGTTTAGTGGGCTGGCATGTTGCTCAAGTGGATCAAAGAGGGGCAGGAGAGAGAATGAGCATCAGTATCAGGAGCCAAGAGGTCCTTGCTGATGCTGCTGATGGAAGGGGAGACACTTTCAGGGATGGGCTGCCCTGCTCTAAAGCATGACTGTTGAAACATATCCTTCCACATGCCTCACTTTATATGCAAGGCAGAGGCCTGCATAGCTGGTAGGCCTATGGCAGTGAGCAGGGGAAGTGAAACCGTATATGGCACGCATCCTTCCAGCCTTACTGAGGCTGAGCTGCATCACCCCATGAGTAATGCTGTTGGTTTCAGAGAGATTAATACAAAGTCAGGCATTATCTGACATGCAGGAAGTGTGGGAGCATCTGGCTGTGAATGATTTGGGGTGAAAGGCTGGTGGGTTGGCAACCCCTTGCTAACTGACCTGTCTTTACCAGGCTGCAGGGGCCAAATGCAATAGAGCTCATTAACATGACATAAGGAACAGTTCTGGGATGCAGCCATGCTGATGTAGAGGCTCACAGGGTGGGGCTGTTAAAAGTATTTAGAGAGCAGAGCAGAGTTCAACACATGTTGGCAGGTGCCAAAGCAGCATGAGGTGAACATCCTGATACTGCTGGTTTCAATGCCTTTGAAGTCATCAAAGAGGAATGTCAAAGAGAACTGTATATTAACTTTGTTTCCTGGGATGGGGTATGGGATCCATACTGCTGCCTCCTCCCCTCCCTTTTCCGAGAGAGGCCACCCTGCAGTGTGGCATCCTTCAAATGAGAAAGGCTGGGCCTGACTCACCAAAGAACTCACTGCCTCTCCATGGCTGAGCCCCCTGCCTTCACTTCACCTTCGCACCGTGTTTCCAGGCATTTTGTACGTCACACAATTTCCATGTGTCAGGGGGACAGGAAGGAAGCCGAGTTCTCTTTTGCCTCTCCCATGGACAGAGTTAACTGATCTCACTCTAGTTTCTGGGAAATGACTGTCACAACTGACACCTAATGATGACAAGTTCTTCTGTCCAATCGCAGCCCATCTGGACCAGATGAGGAATTGCTGTTCTCAGTCTCTCAAACCATCCTGTATCCCAGTTGAGCTCGAGAGATGTGTCCTATGGCTTGCCTGATTTGAGATACTGGCTATCACTTTCACTGTAATAATCTTCTTTTAATTCTTTCCCCCCAGCCTGTTGTTTCCCTTGTTTCTCCTGGACTCTGGATTCCAAGCTACATTTTCCAAGTGCATCCATTCTCTCCTCAGGAAACACACACACCTTCTTTAGCAGGGCATTTGATTACAAGGTTGGTTGTTTGAGATGGGCCACCCTACTGCCTGGATGTCTCCACATGCTGGGGGAGACTCATTTTCAGTTCCAGGAGCCTGGCTGTTCTTTTTCTAGGCATGTGCAAGTTTTATATACACTCCCCCCACCCCCCCTTTTCACTGATGGAGGGCTGAACTTTCCTTGCTACTGACAGATACTCTGGTGAAGCTTTAGACAGAAGGGAAGGAGATTCTGAATCTACAATTTGAGTTCCCCATTCCAGAAACAGAGCAAAACTGTGCATCAGATGCATTTCCCACAGAATGATTGTCCTGAACACTTTCCTTCACCTGTTAGGCAAGCAAATGTATTTCACTCCATGTCACTGACAGAACTCTCCAAACGGAAACGTTCAGGCAACATCCCATGTTTAGGAGAAACAAGGTCTAAATCTTTCTAGCCAGTCTCAGCAAGTGAAGCAATAAGGACCTGGGTGTGGTGGGGATTAGAGAAGTTGCAAACTTCTTTAAGGGGGTTTGCTCAGCAAATCTCCAATCCAGTTCAATGGCAGGTTTGCACAAAGATCAAAATAGAAATTGGTTCTCAGGTATAATTTTTACTGACCAATTTTTTTTATTATGTTCATCATCACACCCTGGCAAGGTTCTCTGCACAGTGTCTGACTTCGCCTTCTCTTCCTTTCACTGTCTTGATCCCTCTTCCCTGTCTTTGAGAGTCTCCTCTTTTCTACCCCCTGTATTTTCATCTCTTAAGGAACCCCTGATGCCCAACCGTCCCGAGGAGTTTAACTCTCTGCTTTCTTCTCTCTCTTAAAATGATCGGCATAGAAAGAGGTAATGCTGCTATTTGTCAAATGTCATCTGTAAAATGTCATCGTTAGGTTTTAGAGTGAATGCTCTGCCATGTTTTGTGCATTGGAGCCAGTCTGCACCTCTGAGTCACTATTTCAGGTTGGCCGCAGACTCAGGAAGAGGACACCACAATGGGCTGCATTTGGAAGGCTTTCATTACAACAGTGAAAGAAACTAAATTCTTCTTTGAAGTGAAAGCTCCAGTTCTGCAGAACCTAAATGCGTTGTGTGGTCTGTGACCTCCTGGCCCTCAGAGAGGTTTTGCTGTTAATTTCTTGCTAATCTGAGAATCTCTGGTGTTGGGATTTTCACGGCATGCTTGCTGGGTCTTTAATCTGGTGTCTTTTACACATCTCCCTATGCTGAAGGGTTCTGGGGCTGAAGAAAACCTGGAATGTCGGCTGATGGCACTGCCTTGGAAGAGGGTACAAATGGCTCTTTGGGCAAGAGGAGGGGGAGCTGCTTACTTTGGGAATGTGTGTGGGATGCCGGAGTGGGGATGAGGGAGGGAGGAATGGGGTGGGTGAGAGGGGAGTTCTTGTTCTGTCTGACCAGAGCTAGATTGTAGTTGCAGTCAGAGGGACATGCTCCCTGGCCCTTCGGGCCTGAGAGATGCTTCACCTTCATGTCCTTGCTGAAGCAAAGCTCTTGACAGCTGAATGACTTACCTGATAACTGCTGCACTGAAGGCTGGTCATGTGTGCTTAACAACTGTGCCTGAATGGTTTCTACTACCCTCTTAAAGCGACGGCTTGGACCTGCGGGGGGGAGAACCACAAATGGCTGTGAGAGGAGTGTCCCCGTGCAGTCGCACAGGATTTGTGAGGAGACAGAAAAGGCATATCTCCTTCAGTCTTCTCCCCCGGCATCAGGCTGGGATAGCATCTGTGACTTAGCAAAGGAGTGTGACCATGAGATGCTACTGCACCACCATGCAGGACTCAATAGGAGGGCCATACTTAGGAGCTGCTCTTCCTTCTTGGCATCTGAGACCCCATCAGGACTGGTTTGCTAAATGTGGGGCCACTTTTTCTTCTTGAGTTTTCCTCCTCCCTCCAACAGCTCCCCTGCCATCCTGAACTGGGAATTACAGCCATTTTCACTCCCAAAGGTTGTTAATTGACAGATCCATTCCAATTTCCACCTAACCGAGTTTGACCTTAGACTATGCTATCTTACCAAAGCTGAGGCCATTCGCAACCGAGTAGTGCCAGGGCAGCCTGAAATCAACTTGTGGCACCCACAAATTTGCTGGGCTTTAGAGCCACCAGGATTCATAAATAGGAAAGACTCCTTCCTCACACCTGACAGGCAGCCTGTGATAAGCAAGGGGATGCCAGGAGAGGAAGGCGAAGGGCACACACTAAGCTTTTGCAACCAGCAGTGGGATCTGATGAGGGACTGGGATTTATTCCTCTACCTTTGGTGAAGGGAAGTAAGTCAGAAAGAAGAGGGAGATGGGGACACAGAAGACACAGAAGAGAATCCAGGTTAGTGAGAGGCTCAGTTCTGCAGTCCCTCCCCCTCAGTTTGAGCTGGCCCACCTCTCCCACCTGTGATTAGCTAAAACAGCAGAGTGGCTATTACATGTAACTTATGCTCCTGGTAAGGGAGGGAGCCCTGTGGCCACTCAGTGCTGAGAGACAGACATTTACTGAAATAGCAAGGCACGACAGAATAGAACCTAGCAAGTTCAATGCATGCAATGGCATCCTGCCATGACACATGGACGATAGCACAGGACTTGGAAGGAAGAAGGATAAGCCAGCCACAACATTATAAACTCTGATGTTGATGCTGCCCTTGGGCGTTCCTTTCTTTCCTGGTGTGCACACTGCTGCCCAAGTCATCACAGGTCTATGCTGTCTCTCATGTTCCTCCATTTCTACACTCTCCCTCTCCTCATAAGTTCTGGATCTCCATCTTCCTCCCTCCCATTGCTCAGCTCCTGCTCTGGGCTCCCCGGCAGAGGGGTGGACTGTGGCTGTTACCTGATAAGAGTGTGAAAGTGACCGAGTAGATCCCATTCTCCTTCTGGGCCTCGCCCCCTTCTGTGTATGTTATGTCCACCTGGAACTTCACCGGCTTCTGGAAGACAGCAGGACCTCCCGTGGACTTGTATTCTGCACGGAAACTCGTCTGTGAGATGACGCTGTGACTGAGGCTGGGGATCTGAAATGGGGTGGTGGGGAGCAGGAGACAGTACAGTCAGAGGACAAATACCAAGATGACAAAAACTCTAGTTAAGGAGAGCCCTTTTTTTTCTCTGAAGGACTCCAAAGACATCAGAGGAGGAAAGATTTGCTTCCTCTAGGCTCAAACTTACAAAGCCTTGTGTATTCTCCTGGGAACAGAGAGAGTGGAAGGTGTCCAGCACCTCACAAAAATATACAGCACCTTGCTGGATTGAGCCATAGTTACAGAGTGCATGCCAGTCAAGTATCTGACATGCTTCAAACCTCCATTTGTTCTGTAACTGGGTACAACCAAGTACGGGTGACACCAATACTTACAACTCAGTGACAGCTGATATCAGGTGGAGGCAGAAAATTTATGGTTCAGTTTCAAAGAGACCAGGAATAGGGATGGATACCTGATAGCTGACCTGGACACAAAGTGTACCAGAATCTGGACTATGCAAAAGGATCTACCCTCATCAGGAAACCCCAGTGCTGGTAAAATCTCGGCAGTGAAAACATCCTGTGAGCTATCAGTACTAAGCAGAATACTCCTTGTACCTTCACACTTGAAGAGCTTCACAATTACTCAGGGCTCAGTTTGCATTCATGGCTCAGGTCAAAATTTCAAATACACCCAGCTCCAACTTATTCTTCTATGTAAGAGCCAAAATTTCACAAGTGCTGAAAGCCTTAGAAATTTAACCACTGATCTGGGATCAAAAAAAAGGAGCTGAGTTCTTTGAAATATCTAACCCTAGGGATTTACTTAGCAGGTTGATGCCTTGCTTTTAATTATGAAGCTGGCTAGGAGATAGAACTGGGGTCTTCAGAGTGAATGCACCACTAGAAGAGACAGGACTGTGAACTGAGGCACTCTACAAACCCTTTGTTCTGGGTTGAATTTGTGGACCTGGTGATGGGACAGACACAGTTTACATAAGAGTGTGCTGGTTACCGCGGGTGACAGACACTATTATGTTATGCTCTGCTGTGTACGAAAAGGTTAGGGGGTCCTGACTATGGAGAGCAAGTCTTCAGTGTAGGTCTATCATTAGGACTGAAACTGACTGTGAAAAACAATGTTATTTTGGCAAACTATATTAAAAAAACCCAACCCTTAAATTTGGGATCTGGGAGGACACTTAAACAAAATATGGGTGTTTCCAATGCTTTTGAAATGAAAAGAGCATCTAAATCAACTTCTACCTCATTTATATGTTCTTTGTGCTTTGGGCGAGGGGAGAGAATGAGATCTCTGGATTTGAAAAGGTGAATCTCTTGGTGCCTCTACACACACACACACACACACACACACACTGTAGTAGTGGTCATCTCCAGAGGTGGTCATGATGCCCCTGGAGACCCCCTCAGCCCTTGCCTCCTTGGCCTTCTGTGGGCGATCTCCCCTTCACTTCACTTGCCATGCTTTGATGAAATGATACTTTTAGGAAAGAGAGGTTGCCCCAGGGCTCCCCAAGTCAGATCTCTCATGATGCCTTAAGGGCTAATCACATGGCTCCAACCACCCCTTACACCTTACCTATACCTAGCAGATGCTACTCCTTCCTCCTTCCTTCCTGAGCTATGGGCTCCCAGCCCCAGTCCTTGTCCCTTTTGGGCTATGGGCTCCTTAGTCTCCTTGGTCTTTGGCTGTGACTCCCCAGTCTTTGGCTCCTCTCTCTGAGCCCTGGCTTCACTCCTAGGCCAGTCGAGATTGCTGGGGCCCCCTGGCCCTGCCAGTCTCTGGCTCTGGCCCTCCTTGGCCTCCTTACTCCCCCTACTGGGCCAGTGAGACCTTTGGGCTCTCTGGCCCTGCTGGCACTCACCCCTCATGGGCTACAAGCCTCCAGGTTCTCT